ATTTCTGCAGATGGCTAGGTACAAACCTTTCTTTGTACCTGCTTATATGCAAGATACCATTAGGAGCAACTTTGAAATTTTCATCCTTCAGCATGGAAATGTGCCGTAGGACAGTGGATTTAGATTTTCCCAACAAAGACATTGAGAAGGGGGAAGGTGTTTGAACTTTGTGTGTACTGCAGGATAAAAAATAGAGATACAAAATGGCAGAGAAACCCATCCTAACAACTGGCAATCATGTTATCCCTAGCCTATTCATCTGGTATATATTGTAGCATAATTCTTTGAGGAGAATTCAAAGCTAACAACAGAAATGTTTAGATTTTCAAGCTGTTTTGAGTGTTAAACATATTAGATATCTGAGGAGACATTAGTTTGTGGCCTGATATTTATTATCACAAATGAAGGCATACACCCAAAATATCAAGTGGCAAAACCACAGAAGTTTGACATATGGTTATCCCAGCTTCTGAAGGCTCGACATCTGTGTAGCTGTTCAGTGAGAGTTACCATCTCATTAGTGCAATTCAAAAATATGCCACAATAAATTTTGAGTCTCTGAAGCAGCAGAGTATTCTAATCTGACATTGCTTGCTTTCTGCAGAGTTCAGTTACTTTGTGAGAAAAAATTACATCAGCACCCTTAAATCTATAGTTGTTCTCTAGTTTCATATCCCCTGTCTCTCTCAAAGATCAAACTTTTGGAAAAAAAATTTTTAAGTTTTCCTTAAAAACTACAACACTCTGAGATGATTATGAAAAATCTCAGAATACTTTTAGAATACTTGGGTGTTTATTTGAGCATTTTTGGAGTAATGTTTTGATTAAAGCACTAAAGTGACTCGTGTGTTTAAGAAAAATGTGGAGTATATCAATATTGCTAAAAATACTTTGACCTTCTATTTCACATATGTAGAGAGCGTTTCTCACCTTTTAAGAAGCATAATACTTAAATAACTACTCAATATACAGAAAAATATAAGTTTTATACTGTACCTTGCCTTTGCCTTATCCTTTGGTTGTGCCATATGCAGAGAAGCTCCTGGAATAACTAAAATTGCTAACTACGTATTTTGACTTCAGGCATTTGTTGGCTATTTTATTTCACAAATTTTGTTTTTATTGACAAGCAGTTCCAAAGACCTAAACTTTGTTTGACCCAGAGACCTTCCAGTCTCCTCTCAGCTGTGGGATCAGCTGCCCTATCCCCTTTTTCAGTAATGTTCTTCCTCTTCCACAGCTACCAAGAACAACCTTCAGCAGCTTTTCCCAGCAGTCAGAGTTCTTGGTCTGTTTTTCCTGCTCCCATGAATATCTCTGCTTAAGCAAAGCTGTGCCGCTGCCCTTCATTCCAGAGAGCATGAATCATCTCAACTTTGTATATTTCTGTACCTATCTATATAAAGCCAATAAGGATGGGGTGGTTCCAGTTTTATTAGGCTTCAAGCCAATTCCAGAGTATGTAGAGTTTAATATTCTATGGATTGCACGCAAAGCAACAGTTTTGTTTAACAGGAGAAGGCACAGGGTCAACTCTTCCCCATGTCTCTTGTCCTCTGGTCTCCCCAGCACAATTCACATCAATTGTGCTAACTTTTTTCAGCAAGGAAGGCATGAGTTGGCCTATGGAAAAAAATAACTATATTCTCCGTGCTTTTCTTCAGCCTCCTGTTAGGGAAATACTTGGGATTGGTGATGGAATATCCTTGTTTTGCCTGATGCTGCTGCACCACAGCATCTTCCCTGTTAAAACATGAAGGGAAGAGCTCCTGCTTCTGCAACTGTGAGTAAGGTTCTCCTGGGTTCACAAGTTGAGCAGAACAAAAAAGCTGGAAGCTGCTTCCTGGTGAAAATAATGTGTGTGTGATTTGTTTTAAAGAGAGAAATTGATTGCTGGGAGGCCATAAAAGTGTTTTGATTATCTGATGCTTCCAGAAGAAGGTGGTCTGTAGAGCTGCATCTGTTCAGAGCTGGCTCAGTGGCTGTCTCTAGGGAAGAAGGCAGAAGTCATCTGGCACATAACACTCTGCACAACTTAAAATGACAAACTTCTCATTCTTATGAAATGAGTCCTGGCATAGTTAATATACACACAGAGCAGTTGTCAGTGTTGTTCACTTCCAACCCCTGAGAATTGCTCAATGATTTCTTCAAGACTTGCTGAGGTAAGGAGTGAGAGGGCCAGGAGAAAACTTGAGGTAGTGAAGAATCAGGATCTTGTTACACAGATAGGGTCTTTATGCTAAATAAGATATTAAATTTGGGAGTCTAAAACTTCAGTGACAGACACTGGAGACTGGACAAGTTTTTAGGTAACAGATGGTGGAAGACTGCAGCTTTCATTTACTGCTGTTCTAAAGCAGTGGCTTCTAACCTCTTGCAGTGTGTAAGCCTAAAATGTTTCACCTCCAGAAGTGATCTAGCAGATAAAGGTTTTTCCTTAATCATTCTTTTTCAGATTGATAGCAATGGCTTATACTTCATAGACAAAACATTTTGTTTTCAAATGCATCTTTTCAATTGCTTTTCTGTCTTAAGGGACATGTTCGAAATTAAACTCCAGTCAAACTGAATAGCTTCAACACCAAAGATGCTTGTGTTTGTGCAATGCTTCATCCCTTGGAATGATTTATTTTTTTTAAAATCCATGTGTTTAACCTGTTGGATACCAAATTGTTAAATGAATTAGGGCATTTTCATCAAGCTTTCAAATGTGAATTCATGAGTACGAGTGTCTTCCCAGAGGCACTTTGGAAGGTAATTTTAGGAATACTCATAAAAAGCATTATTTCTTCACAGTGCCTCAGTTGATTCAATAGTCCATTCTCTCATGCCAGTGCATGAACTTCTGGAGCATTATTTTACATCATTTTCTTAGTGTTTCTTAACTCTGTTTTCAGTAAATGTGGTGGTAATTGTAAACTGCTAACCTCAATCACACTTGCACTGAGGTTTTGATATCACTAAGATTTCCTACAGTGTTCTCAGAAGTAGCTGAAATAGAAGTAGCACTAATAGTTCACTTAAAAGATAAACTGGTTACACTTATCAGAAACTTCATGTGTAATCTAGAAATGGTTATTGCAGAGTTGTAAAGCCTATTTGAATATTGAAGTACTTAAAGATTCCACTAGCCATTTATGAGCCCTTTATAAAGTGCATTATGAATATAATCTTGGAGACTGTGACTGAATGCCCATAGTTATTCAATCACTGTTGCTCTGAACTTTGTTTTTTCTATCCTGATAAAGGAGGACATTCTAATTTTTGTTCAGAACAGGAAGACATACGAGTGTTGCTTGATACAAAAAAGTGATAGTGAAAAGATTTCTTGATTATGTGGATTTTGCATGAACTTTGTGGTTCTGTACAGTTTATCTCAAGAAGATTTTCTCTGGGTTTTATGTGATCCATAAATTGCAAATTTTGTGGGCAATGAAGCAGCCTTTTACTTAAGGTACCCTATGTCTAGGGACAAGAACTGGTCCATGTCCATTTTGGGAAGGGTGCCTGAAGTCAGGCAGCTGAATGAAAACTGGTACTAGAGGGCTGAGTACCTGAGCTTTTTGGTAATGGAGACTGTGACATACCTGCCCATAACAACTGTGCAGTCACCACCTTCGAGGCAAAGGGCAATCAAACACACACTCCTAGCCTTTCCACTACTGTGTGCCTCTGCATCTTTAGTTACAATCCCAATGAGTTTCAAAAGACCTTTAGGTTCATATTGCACAGCTGCAACAATGTAGTAGTACAACGGGTAACAATAGTGTATACAGTTGCTTTTTAGAGGAGTGAAATACTTGACAGTACCTGCTGAAATGTGGTACTTGCTTATGAAAGAAATACTTGTTATAATGAAAAAACTTCATGAAATTCTCGAGTGTCTCTTCATGATAGCAGAAAAAGAATATGGATGGTTTTCAGGACCTTCAGACGTGATCCTCAATTTAAGGATGCGGTACTCAGCCAAAACAATTAAATGCAAGTATAAATACACTTCCAGTATGAATATTGGTGAAAAAATTCAGCCTCGGAGGACAATATATTGATATTCATTCACGTGGATTGTGTTAGCAAAAAGTTTGGCCTTGCAAGACGTTGAACACCTTTCTGATGCTGTACCAGTGCACCCAGCAGCTCAGATCAGGATTGCCAGTGCCACTGCTGTTCTCTCCATCTGCCATGTTTTGCCTTTTAATGAAAAAACACTGATGTGTTCTTTTATTTTACATTTTGGTGTCATTGCCTAGAATTAAAGAAGTGAAATATATTTTATGTGAAAAAGATAGTTCAAGTAAGAAGGGATAAGAAAGGGTAAGAAAGATACCTGTGTATCTTTCTATAATGTCAATATTATGCTTCCCAGAGACAAACCATTGTCTTTGATTCTCATTCACTTCAACACTGTTGAAGCACTTTGCTGAACTATCTGCCTTGTGATGAATTCATTAATTTTTATTTCATAGGACTGGAGTGATGGGATTTATGGACTGGGATCCTCTGTGTGAGACAATACTGGGTTTGACATCTGCATTTTCAGCCAATGTGTAGGCATTTTTACACTCTGAGCTTACTGTTAGTAAGGTGGATGTTCAAAACACCTACATTTTTGAGAGGAGGCATTTCAGCTGTCAGTCTGTAGCCACGATGGGGAAGTTTAGATGTTAACGTCCAAAGTACAAATTGGACTTTGGTATGTTTAATGAAGATAGTTCTCCCATTTTTGGTATCTGTTGTTCTTACAATCTTGTTTGCACAACATATTTTTCTAGAAAATACAGGACTCTTAAAGTTGTGGAAAACCACAGTTTGTTTCATCTTCCTTATGCTTTTAAGGATCTTTGACCTTAACCCACAGCCTGCCTTGAATGGTAGGGTAGATACTCTCCGGTGGTCTTCCTCCTGGAGAACACTTCACTGAGCACAGCCCCAGTGCAAACCACCCTCTATGTGGGGATGATCACATGTGCTGTTAGTTTCAAAGAGGGATAGAACACATAGAAAATGCATTTAAAAACGTGTAAGGCTGAGAGCAACACAAAAACCTCTGCTCTAATTTGGTCAGTGCAGCACAAAAGCTTGGTATTGCATGAGGTTTGGTTTGGTTGTGGATTTGGTTTTTTTCATGAGGTAATGTGAAACAATGCATTGCTTTCTGTAAACTTTCTTGGATCACTTTGAACTTGGGTTGCTTAAAAAACATTAGGAAAAAACATTTCTGAAGCTGTGTTAGCTTAGAGCTTTTCATCTGTGCAGACTGCACAGGCAGCTTGTGAAGAAGTCAGGATGCCAGACTCAGAGCTATTTGGTTTTTGTAGCTACAGAATGTGACTTAAAATATGGCATTACTGGCTGACCCATTTTTTAAGTTGCTGCCCAATAATCTTGCTATATACATAATTTTCGTAAAACTTCAATAGTGCAGTCTGGGTGCACATTCTAGCTTGAGTTACATGATTTTAATTTGTTGAATAAACTGCAGTAGATGCTCTCTTAGGAAGACAATATTTACAGGTATCATTTGCGTGTTAGTTAATGAGGTATAACCCAAATCATTACTGAGCAGTTCAGAAATAGAAGGCAACAGCTGTAATACTGAGAAAGAGATGCAGGTCATGAGTTCAAACCTTGGGATTAAAGGGATGACTTTTACTCTACTGTCTTTACTTTGTTGTGCTTGCTATAAGTAGATGGCGCATAAACCACTGTGCTTATATTTCTCTGTCTTTTTAAAATTATTTTTATTTTTAGTTAGTGAGTTTTCCTCTGTTGATATTTAAGTCTAACTGACTTAGATGGAAGCGGGATTTCCTGTGGTGATTAAAACCACAGATGCTGAGATTAA